CCCCTGGCCTGCCCTCCCTTCCTCACCTCCTCTCTGGCAGGCCGGGAAGCATGGCAGACCGTGCTTGGAGTCTGCTTCTACTCTCTCCTGGACATCTGGGCTTGGGGACAGCTGGGGACTCACACAAATGGAGGCCAGGGCTGGCTTTGTGGGCATGCCCACCTGTGTGGTCACACAGAGCTCCCCACTCAGACGGGCTCGGTTTACTGCTCTGCTGGGTCATCTTGAAATTCGTAACGAGTTTCGAACAAGGGGCTCTACCTTTTCATTTTGCGCTGAGCCCCATAAATTGTGTAGCTGGTCCCAGTGGAGGTCCACACCTCCCCCCCCTCTAGGGGCCCTTCTCACTTCCTCCTCACTCTCAGTCAATATGCAGTCAACAAACATTTACTGAGCACCTACTTCGTGTTGAAAAGTAGCCCTGAAAGCTTGGGGATGCAGGGGTGAACACTGCAGACCCAGCCCTGGGTTCCCAAAATTCCTCTCTGCACACACCGAGCCCCTCAGAGATGCACGCGCAGTAGTTTTCCAAGACAGCACACTAATAATCCTACCTGCCAGTTAGGGAACTCCACCTATAGCACGCACTTCATCTTGTTTTATCCTCAGAACAGTTCGTAAAGTAAGCACTATTATAATCCCCATTACAAAAATATGTATTTATTTGAGAGAGAAAGAGAGCACAGCAGGGGGAGAGGCAGAGGGAGGGGGAGAGGGAGAAGCAGGCTCCCCCAGTGCAGGGCTCCTCCCAGGACCCCGGATCATGACCTGAGCCGAAGGTAGGTGCTTCACCGATGGAGTCACCAGACCTCCCCATAATCAGATGGAAAAAAACTGATGCTCAGAGTTCAAATCCTTTGCTCAGTGTCACGTAGCCAGTAAGGAGCAGAGTCAGGACTCACCTCTGCCTCTCGTCCTCAGCCTCTTGTCCCCTCCCTGCCACCACCCCTGCTTTCGGCTGCTCCCTGAGCAACAGCAGCCGCCAGCCTCTCCCTGGCCCAGTGCCCCCGGCACAGGGCTCCACGTTTGTTAAATGAAGGAGTTTTGTCAAATGAAAGGAACACAAAGAGACAGACGCACACTAACACCCAAACACTTACACCCGGAACACATATCGCAGAGCTTGGTGTCCAATACCAGACGATTTGGGTTTGAGTCCTGAACCTACTAGGTCCCAGCGGCGTGCCTCAGTTTCCCCACCTTCAGAATGGACACAGGGGTAGGGGCGTGGTGAAGGCTAAAGGAGAAATATATGCGAGGCTCTGAGGCCGTCGCTGATTGGCACCTAGTCACACTTCGATAAATACTAGCTGTTGCTATTTGTCACATTTGTCATCCACACTCACTCGCACGCGCTCTCCTGCCGTCACCTCGTCCTCCCGGCCCTCCCGAGCCCGGCTCCGTCCTAGCTGTGTCCGTGGCTGACAGGCCAGGCTCCGGAGCCAGGAGGGAAGAGCAGCGGCTTCTCTGGGCGCCCCCTGGGGGCTGTACCTGGACAGGCCCACGCAGAGGGAGGGGGCTGCTCCTCTGCAGCTCAGAGGTGCATCAGAGAGGGCTTCCTGGAGGAGGCCTCCACCCAAACCAGCGGAGCGAGCCAGCTCCAGCCGAGGTAAGATGGTGCTGCCATTGGCTCCTCCGTTGCCCCTCACAACACCCAGCCCCTGACTTCTTCGGCAGCGCCCTCCCTCCACCCCCTTCCCCACAGTAGAAACTTTCCTCTCCTCCTGCCAGGAGCATAAATTACCCCCAGGAATGCGCTGCGTCCCACAGCTCCCCTGGCAGTGGCCCTCGGCTGTCCTAGGGTCAGGCCTGGCGCGCCATCAAAGGCCGGATCGGTAACAGTGAGGCTCCCCGCCCCTCCCACTGGCCCTTTGGCTTCCAGGGAGCAGCACATGGTAGCACTTAAGCTCCCAGAGACCGGGAGGATGCTTTCCTGCACCCCCCCCCCCACCGTCCACAATGAACTACTTGTTAGGAGACTATTTTAATTTTACTTAATGCAATTTCTGTTGCCACCTCCTTCTCTGGATGCCCAGCACAAATACAGGGGAGGCCAAGCCACCGAGGAAATGTTACTGGTGGGGGCGGGGGCCGTGGGGCAGGAGGGGGCCAGTCCTGGTGCTCTGGGCTCCACTCAGGAAGTAAGGGGGTTGATGAGGGGAGGGCTCAGGGATAGCGTGTGCAACTAGGGCCAGCGGGGGAGTCCAGGGGATGCACAAAGGGCTCTTTCCACTGCCCTGGGCCCAGGAGGCAGGTCCTTGGGCCTGGTAGCACGCAAGCCTTGCTGTCAGACCCTAGGGAGAGCCCCGGAGAAGGGGGCGCTTCCAGGTCCTGAGCAGCCTCTGGAGTCGGGCCATCAGGTGCGGCTCCCAGCAAATTATGAAAAGCAGGGCTCCAAGGGTCACCCTGGGACAGGAGAGTGGGGATCTGGAGACCCCTGGTGGCCCAAGGCTGCAGAGCAACACCTCTCTGAGGTCCACCTAGCGGGTGCCAAGCCCAAAGGCCACCAGCAGGGCCCCTAGGGCCCCACATCTCCACTGCCAGCAGGCTGCTGACCCCAGCATTCAGCCCGTCCTATAAAGGCAGCAGACCTGGCCCTCCTGCAGGTGTGCAGTATGTGGAGAGCGGGGCGCGGCCTAGCCTGGGGGGCTGTCCCAGCCTCAGAGCTGTAGTAAAAGTAGAGGCCTATACAATCCACAGTGATTCCAGTGGTGGGGGCGGGGGGGGGCCCCCGAGGTTAGGTTGCTGGGACTTGTGTGTTGGGCTCCTTTGGGAGAGATGACGAGGTGATGTTCCAAACAGCTCCGTGGTCCGCAGCCCCTCCCTTCCCTCAGCATCTGCGTGCACATCACACAATTGTGGGGCTGTCAACTGGGAAAAATCACCAAGGGGGCCTTGTTTCCACAGCTTGCCCACTCTGGTGCGGCCTGTGCTGAACTCCGGGAAAGGAAGTATCTAACACCTCATACCGTACAAACGGCTGCTGGGACGCCGGAAAGTAGGTGTGGAGCTAGAAGAGGAAGGGTGAGATCCCCCCCACCCACCGGAGAAGGAAAGGGTGGCGCCGCTCACTTTTTCCGTGGAGCCCGGATACCACACGGTGCTCCTGCAACTGGGCCCCGGCATCCGTTCCCTTAATCTCCTTCTTTCACTCGTGCTCTGGTGTGATTGGACCCAGCCCCACGATGGGTGCTAAGGATACGGTTGACCAAAGGGGGTACCTGCCCTAAGGCCTCAAATTGTACCTGGAGTGGAAGGTAAAGAAGCTCAGAGAAGGACACGATCCCCGTGGGCGTGTCCCTATACTTGGGAACAAAAAGGTGACCTTTCCCCATCCTTTAGTGGCCTAACCCAGCTGGAGGAGGCAGGTCGTGTGCAAACTGCCTCTATTTGGGTGTCCCAGACCCCAGTCCTAACCTATAAAACCCCAACACCCCCCGCATCTATAATGGCTCTCCTCACCTCAGGCCTGTGCTCTAACCCTGAGAAAAGCCTGGGGACCCCACCCCCCACCCCAACAACCTGAGTATCTGGACCTCAAAGGTCTAGACTGTCTCCAAGAACAATGCTACCAATATGGTCTGACAACCTCTGATCCATCCCTTGAAAAGCTATCCTGAGGTCTTTTTTTTTTTAAGATTTATTTGGGGGCGGGGGGGGGGGAGCAGAGGGAGAGGGACAAACAGATGGCGCTGAGCACAAAACAAAGCCCAACATGGGGCTTGATTTCATGACCCTGAAATCATGACCCAAGCCAAATCAAGAGTCCAAAGTTCAACCAACTGAGCTGCCCGGTGCCCGAAAAGCATTCCTAAATTCCGTTAAGGCTGGGAGAGTGGGCTGCAGCACTGCTCCCCTCCTCCCCCAGTGCCAGCTGGGCATCAGGACTAAGAACGTGGGCTTGGTGCCCTAGATTCTCCACCTAATGGCTCGATGACCTCGGGCAATTTGCAGTCTTCTAAAAGTGGAATCACTGTGAATAATGGAATTATTGTGGATTAAGTAAAGTGTTAGTATGACATGCGGTAAGCACTCAATAGATCGTACCCAACATCACAGGGTTTAACTTTCCTCTGACTTCCTCTCTGTCTCTAGACACTACCCTACTTCTTAGTTTTTTTTTTTCTCTAAAGATTTATTTTGAGAGAGAGAAGGGGAGTGTGAGTGCAGCATGTGTGCACATAAGCAGGAGGGACAGGGGGAGAAAGAGAGAGAGAACCCCAAGCCGACTCCCCACTGAGCGGGGACTCCGCTGCAGGGCGGGGAGCTCAAAACTGGGCTTGATCTCACAACCCCAAAATCGAGACCTGAGCCAAAATCAAGAGCTGTAGCCTGAACCGACTGAAGCACTCAGGTACCCCCTTAGCTCTTCTTTAAAGAGCAAAAAGTCTTTGAAAGAAAAATTGGGGGCAGCTCTGGTGACTCAGTGGTTGCACCTGCCTTCGGCCCAGGGTGTAATCCGGGATCAAGTCCTACATCAGCTCCCTGCATGGAGCCTGCTTCTCCCTCTGCCTGTGTCTCTGCCTCTGTGTCTCTCATGAATAAATAAAATCTTTTATAAAAAGAAGAAAAATTGGGTACCCTTAGTCTTCATTTATTCTCTCAAACCTTCTCCAACCTGGCTTTCATTGTCATTATTTTTAAGTAAACTCTACACCATACAGGGGGCTTGAACTCACGCCCCTGAGGTCAAGAGTCGCATGCTCTACCGACTGAGCGAGCAAGGAGCCCCTCTCCTTTCTTCTGACTCAGTGGCCAAGAGCTTAATAAGATAGTCCATTTTAGGTCTATCTAGGATAATGGTCTGCTTCTAGATTTTACTAGACAGTAGACCCAAAAATGACTTTGAAGGGGTATTTGCACCCAGGTTTCCCAGACTTTGGTCTGGGTGGAGGAGCCATTCTGAGACCAAGTAAAAGTTAGTCAGGACACAGGAACTCAGTTGGTCTCCTCACTTCACTGCAACAAAATTCCGGAAAGAAAACAGGACACACTTAAGATTTCACTCAAGAATGTGTCTTTACTGAAGAAACCGTAAGAAAAAAAGGATGGACCCTCTGTAAAAAGAGGAGATGTTGCCTCCAAACAGCAGGGAGGAATGAGACCTGTGTGGCTTCCCAGTAGTCAGTGTTCCCGGCACAAGACTCCTCCTTCCGGGCAAGCACGAGAGTGTCACACTACAACCAGCAATTCCTATCCACCCCATCGGCCTCTCCTCCCCCGTCCCACAACCCTGGATTCTCCACAGCCATTCACCAATGGTTTCCCGAAGGCCCAGGAAAAGACGGGGGAGGCCTGCCTCTCTCTGAATGGGGTCAAAACGGGTTTTGCTTTGGAAAATTCAAAGAGGAATGTAAAACGGTTGAGCTCTTTCTAGTCCAACCAAACATGGCCTCATCCAGCCCCTCTGAAGGGAACTGGAGGAAAGAGTTTCCCTCCTGAATGTGTACGCTTGCGCTTGTGGGGTAAAGAGACTATCTCAGCCTGGAGAATGGAAACAGTTAGAAGAATATGTAACAACCGTGTTAGAGAGTCACTCAGTTCCTAAGGGCCGAGGGAGCTCTGAGGCTTCGGATTCCAAGCAGTGCTCCTGCTGGGCTCCCCTCCAGTCCTGGGGATGGTCACTCCTCTCCAGCTGGGAGATTGTCCTCAATTCGCCTGATGAACCTCATGCGGATTTCTGTCACACCGTCTCCTTTCAGGGTGTCCTGGACAAACCTGGCCTCCACGGCCATCTGGACCTGAGGGACAGTAGGAAAATAAAGGGGCAGCTGCCTAGCCACAGGCTCTGGGAACCACGGGGGACGAGGCTCTAACTGACTCATCCGCAGCAGTCCCAACGAGGGCACTGCTCTCCGGCAAGAACAAGAACTGCCAATTCCAATGCTCCCTTGTAGAAAGCAGTGGCCCCGACCCTAAGGACGGATTGAGCAAAGAACCACCACAGGTGAGATTGGCCCCACATGAGCCAACCTGGGAACGGACGGTGCTGGGCTTTGGGGGCTGACGGCACCACCGTCAGGGAGGGTCATCACCACGGAGAGGCATCCAACTTGGAACCTGTGCTCAGCAGCATCACATCTCAGGCAGCCAAGTGCTGAGGTGAGCCAGGGCCTTTCTTCTCTCTCTCTCTCATTCATTCAAACATTTACCAAGCCCCTACTGCACCTCGGGTGTCCCAGAAGGGAAAGAGCTGCACTCACCATCTCCAAGGCTCCCCGCAACACCCCACACAAGAGATTGGAATAAATAAGGGATGAGTGGTTATCAGGAAGTTCCACAAAGTCCACCAAGGGGTTATTTTCCAAAATGAGGGAGAATTCGTCACCAGCTGGGCTCCAATTGGTGATGCTTGGAGTGATGCCCAAGTACATCTTGAACGCCACCTGTCAGGGGACACACAACAGCGCCGTGGGGGAAGGGCAGCAGGGCTGCACAGCAGCTTCCCTGCTGGGCCTGGTGAAGGAGAGTTAGGTGGCTTGGGAACAAAACTGTGGCCTCTGCAAACACCGGGGCTTTAGGTATTCAGGGCAAAAAAGGAAAAGCATCTTTGCATAATTCCACAGCCCGCTCCTTCAAGGCCTCATACGATCAGGGAACGCGTTGACCACCTCCACTTCTGACGGGGCTGGCTTCCCAGAACCACCATATGGGAGGGCCAGCCCACTGCCCTGTCCTCTGTGCTATCCTGAACCCTTCTTGAAAGCAAATACAGGTCACTGCAGCACAATTACTCTGAAGACACCCTTCCCTCTATCCACCCTCCTAGTAACAAATCTTCACAGAGCTAAAGCTCTCTTCACTGTCAGCCCTCTCTATGATTTGGGCCAGCTTGCTCTACAACAGAAAGAATCAACCTTTAGGTGCCAGACGCCACAAAACTAGAGGCGTTTTATCATTTATTATTAAGTCTACAAAACGTAACGCTACTATTATCAATAGCGACCATTTCCTACAAGCGCACTATGTGAAGTGCATTCATTTCACCCGAGAGCTCATGCTTATTATTTCATTACTCCTTAAAACCACCCTGTGAGGTAACTCCTAGTTTCTTTTAAAGATGAGGTAAGTGGTAATTAGAAAGGTTAAAAGTAACTTACCCTTAACTAGAAAGGAGTGGAGCCAGAATATGAAGCCAGGTTTGTCTGAGTCCAAAATCTGTATTCTTTACCCCATGCTACCCTACTACATCTTCACAGTCGAGATCTGGCTTTGATTTCACGGGGGCTTTCATCCACCCGGATGATCCCAACCCTCTTCATACTCTGTGCTATTCCCAAACCACCAGGACAGCTTGTTTGGCCCAGACAGCTGCCTGACTAGTCTTTCAGAATACTAAGGGCCCCTCTAAGGGAGACGGAGAGAGTGGTAAGTAGTGCCTCCCAGTGACACATCCTTCAGCATAGCCAGGTGGCCCAGGATAATGACCTTGGCGATGACATCTGCGGTTTCCCGAAAGTCATGGCACCTCCCAACATTGGACCGTGCCAAGAAATCTTCAATCAGTCGGACTCCAATGTTATAGCCCCTGGGAGGAAAATGAGAGAAGAGACCATATCATGGAGTGTGAACGTCTTATGTCTGAATGTAAGGCTGCTGATGGTACAGGGAAAATCAGGGACAATTCTAAAACATCTCAATAAATGAGCTGAGCGGAAACTATGTTGAAAATGTAGCTTACAAAAGAGGACCCCATTCTGGGCTCTAAAGAACCTTGGAGACTGTGCCCTGGGGAGCCCCATTCTTGTCTTTCCTGCAGAGGAGCTTACTCACATTTTGTCCAGCTGTTTATTCACATCTTCATCATTTTCATAGTCCTTGCACAGCTGTGTGACCAGAGCCCCGTAGGTGAGGGTGAAGAGCTCAGAGCTCTAAAAGAGATTCAAAAGGCAGTTAGGAACAAGAAGCGCAAAGAAAAAGTTTAACGACTCTAGGTCAGCCTCAGCGCAGCTGTCCGGATTCCAAGGAAGGTCATCTGTGTCCACTGGGAAAGAATATCACTCCTTGGGTGGCCAAGGAGGGCAGCCCCCCATGGTCAAGGTGGCAGGGCTTCAGTCATGAAGCCAAAGTCCAAGAACGGGTTATAAGAGGAAGGCAGCCATGCTAGCCACTATACCACCAATGCTCAAGAACGGGTTGTAAAAGGCACTTCGCACATGAAGCAGTCACTCTTCCAACACATCAAGGTGGGTTTCTGCTAACCCCGGACCCTCCCATAGCCGGCATCCACTGGATACCATGAAAGACAGACCTGGAGAAGACATTTACAGATTAGCTTTTTGGACCCATGGCTTCTCCACACCCAAGCATGTCTGCAGCGTCAGGGCCGAGAGTTCAACTGCACTCCCAGTGCCCTACCCAGGAGAGCAGAGGACCCGGCGGCCTGGTCTGTGGGGAGGAAAGAAGTCCTAGAGTCCACTGCACTGACAATGCCCCTCCTAAGTCACCAGCATAAGGAAAAGTAATGTTCCTCTTGACACAGAGCGAAAATGTTTCCAGGAAAGGAGTAACTCTGAAAGGAAGCCAATTTTTTGTGTGCCTGAAATACAATACTGATCTGGACTGGTTTCTATTATGATCACAGTTAAAATCACAGTCTTCTCAGATAAAGGCTCCTGTCACCTACCGGCCAAGAAACGGGTGTGGAAGGTGACAGGATGACTGATACCAAGACTGCAGAATGAAGGCATGAAGTGTGGGGCAAGGCACCATCAGAGCCAAGTAAAGGGAGAAACATGCTATCAGCACATCAGGACCAATATATTTGCATGGAAGTAATCACTCAGCCACTTCCTTCTTGTCACACTTGGAGCAGAGCACCATTCTGTCCTCAAGTTTTCTGGAGAGCGAAGTCCAAATAATGTTGAGGCTCAGGCTCGCAGCGTATCAATGCCCCTCACCTCATCCCCAAGCCCTGGTGACAAGGTCGCTGCAAGAATAGTACTGGGAGTGCCTTTGCTTACACACTACGTTCTATTTTTCATGATCTCATTTTCCATCCCACAAGAATTCTGTAAAGCAGAAAGGGCAGGAATTAATCTCATTTTACAGGTGAGGAAATACAGACTCAAATGATTAAATAATATGTCCAAGGACCAACAGCTAATCATTGACAAAAGTAATTTTGGGAGACAAAAGCCAAGAATTCCTAAGCCAGTGTTCATTTTATCCTCTGTTCCTTACAAGTGCAATATTAATAACCCCCCCCAAAACAAAAACAAAAACAAAACCATAACAACCAGCAACGAAAAACTTAGCTGTACTAGGAAGTCAAAGAGAATGTTTTAGAATCAGGAAACTTTTTGAACTGAGCTAAAACAGTCAGATCAGGGTGTCTCCAAGAGACCATTTACCAAATATGGCAATTAAGGGGAAGCTATTAAGGAGCACAATGATTTTTTAGTAAAGTTAAGGGTTTGGCACTAGAATGGCTTAGACGTGAATGGATGGAGACAATCCAGCAGTTACCAGTCTACAGAGTTGGCACCACTGCATTCAATCAGGAGAGCTTTCCTTCCATTATTAACGAGCCCTTGGATGGCGATTCCAACAGCCTCGACCCACCATAATGCCAAGGAGCAGATATACTGCAATGTTATTGAGAACTTACACATGCAGCAGCCCCCAGTTTACCAACAACAAAAATCAAGGTTCTAGACAGATCTATCCATGGTCACAGTATCAATATGCCTGGGATCTGGAATGGGATTCCTGGCCCAGGCTCTCCAGACTCTCTCCTATTTTGCAAGTCTGTTTCTGTCTCTGATTATGAACTAAGCCTACTTGAAACAGTGCGCAATGCAAATATGTAACTTAAAGATCTTTATACTTAATCTATTTTTTTAAAGGTTTTATTTCTTCATGAGAGACAGAGAGAGAGGCAGAGACACAGGTAGAGGGAGATGCAGGCTCCCTTCAGGGAGCCCGAAGTGGGACTCAATCCTGGGGCTCCAGGATCACGCCCTGGGCCAAAGGCAGATGTTTAACCACTGAGCCACCCAGGCGTCCTGATCTTTATACTTTAAAAATAGGAGTGGGAGGGATCCCTGGGTGGCGCAGCGGTTTGGCGCCTCCCTTTGGCCCGGGGCACGATCCTGGAGACCCTGGATCGAATCCCACGTCAGGCTCCTGGTGCATGGAGCCTGCTTCTCCCTCTGCCTGTGTCTCTGCCTCTCTCGCTCTGTATGTGTGACTATCATAAATAAATAAAAAAAAATAAAAAAAAAATAGGAGTGGGACTGTGGTATAGAAAAGTTATTTACTTAAAGTTTACCATGTTCCAGGGACTATCTAATAGGAGAGAAACAGATAATAATTTGAATATAAGGCTTGTCAGATGATAATAAGAGCTATGGAAAAAAAAAAAAAAACAAGCACAGACAGAAATCAGGGGGTATTTACATTCATATATATATCCTGTCACCCGGGATGACGACCTGAGCCAAAGGCAGGTGCTCAACCACTGAGCCCCCCAGGTGCCCAAGAGATCAATTTTAAATTGGATACTCAAAGAAGACCCAATAAGGTGATATTTGTGTGAAGACTTGAAGGAGGTAAGGATAAGCCATGAAGATATCCAGGTGAAGAGATCCTGCAAAGCAAGTGTAAAGGCACTGATGTGGGAGTATGTCTGCCATGGCTGAGAAACAGCTAAGAGACCTGTGTGACTTGAGAGGAGTGAACAAAAAAGAAAGCAGAAGAGGAAGACAAGTTACTGTTGATCTGGGTTTTCAGTCTGTGTGACCCTTACAACAAAAAGTTCCACGAGACCTTAAAGGCCAGCTCGTTCAACGAATGCAGTTTCTTTTTTTTTTTTTAATTTTATTTTTATTTTATGATAGTCAGAGAGAGAGAGAGAGAGAGGCAGAGACACAGGCAGAGGGAGAAGCAGGCTCCATGCACCGGGAGCCCGATACGGGATTCGATCCCGGGTCTCCAGGATCACGCACTGGGCCAAAGGCAGGCGCCAAACCGCTGCGCCACCCAGGGATCCCGAATGCAGTTTCTTCACTGCACAGGATAACTACATTCTCCCTCCCAGAAAAACACAGGAATCTCTTCTGCAACATTCCTACTTTCAGGTGCTTTAATTATGTTTAATCATAATGGCCATAAACATTTATAAAACCTTCAGAATGCCTTCACAGATAGTTTCTCATTGACCCTAATCACAACCATGAGAGGTTAGGAGAACAAACAATATTTATCCCCATTTTACAGGTGAAAGGTTAGGTAACTAAGACTCAGTCGTCGTCGTCGTCTTCTTCTTCTTCTTCTTTTTTTTTAAAGATTTATTTATTTATGATAGAGAGAGAGACAGAGACCAGGAGGAGGGAGAAGCAGGCTCCATGCCAGGAGCCCGATGTGGGACTTGATCCCGGGACTCCAGGATCATGCCCTGGGCCAAAGGCAGGCGCCAAACCGCTGTGCCACCCAGGGATCCCTATTTTTATTCTTAAACTAGTTCTCTGTGGTGTGGTATCAGAGAGTACCCCGAGCCGGGTTCAAGGAGGGAGATTTTAAATCAACATAAAGAACTCCGAAAAAAAAAAAAAAAAAAAAAAAAAGAACTCCGTAACAACTAGTAAGACATACAGAAAGAATACTGGGTTTGTAGTCAGAAGACCTGATTCTGAGTCTGGACTGCCACTTACTAGCGTGAGATTTTACTTAAGTCACTTCACTTTGCATAATCTCAATCTCCTCACTCAAAAATGGCGACAGTAAAATCTGTCACGCTGATTATAGGATTGTTGGGAGGCTCTGAGAATAATGCACTTAAATATTCTCTTCAGAACAACCACAGGAGTGGTTTCATACTGGAATAGGTGATCTGATCTCCCAGTCCTACAGGCACAACCTGAGCAGAACAAGTTAAGCCAAGCCGTACTTCAGGTGAGCTATGGCACTTGGTAGTTTTCAAAAGGCTTTTCAATTAGTGCCCCAGACAAACAACAAATCTCCTTAAGGGGACTGATCTTTGGAGCTAATGCTCCAAGAGTCGCATTCACTATTTTTACCAACACAAGTAACTCAGTATGACTGCCCCCAAAAGCTGGGAATGAAGGTCAGTTACAGGACGGAGTCCATCCCTGTCTCAGCCTCCGGCCTCCTGTCAGGGAGACTCTGAGTGCTGCTACGAAAGTAGTATCTCACCTGAGCACCTGGTACCAGGTGAGTAGTATCTCACCTGGGAAGAGAGCCGCTGGGGTTGGGTTACTAGTAACATGACACAAAATAAGGGAAGGTTTGATTGTCCACGGAATTCAGGAACCAAACACTATACAGACCCATAAAAGCTAATAACTTTACTAACAAGGATGCCTGCTGACTTTCACCGAGTGCCAACTACGTAACATGCACCATCACACTGCTAGCTTTTCATGCATTATCTCAATTCTTAGAACAACCCCATGAGAGATACTACTACTACATTTTGTAACTTATTTTTTAAAGATCATATTTATTTATTCATTCATGAGAAACACACACACACACACACAGAGAGAGAGAGAGAGAGAGAGAGAGAGAGAGAGAGAGAGAGAGAGAGGCAGAGACACAGGCAGAGGGAGAAGCAGGTTCCATGCAGGGAGCCCGACCTGGGACTCAATCCCAGGTCTCCAGGGTCACGCCCTGGGCTGAAGGCAGTGCTAAATTGCTGAGCCACTCGGGCTGCCCTAACTTATTTTTTTTTTTTTAAATGGTAGAATTGATGCTTACGACAATCAGGACACTCGCCCAAAGTAACAAGGCAAGTAAGCAGTTAAGCCAGGACTCCAGGCCAGACAGCACTATGCCGCTGTGCTGTATACTCTTCTGCCTCATACATTGTGCTTCTCAAGGTTAGGGACTAGGCCTGCGTCTCTCAGAGCACCTAGACAGACCTACACATACAGTCAGGGCTCAGGGAAAGTCTGCCAGATATGTGGGCTATTTCTGTTCGCCCAGACTAAAAGCAGAGGTCTAGCTCCTCAGGCATATTAATCATTTAAGTCTTGGAATGTTTAAGTGGGAACACGGCAATCGGCAGAAGGTAGGGCCAACGGGAAAAAGGGATGCTAGAGGGGGAGACTTCCTGGCAGGAGAAGAGCAGGTCAAAACCAGGTGGCCACAAAGAGGATCATGTGACAAGCCTTAAGCAGGCGCCAGCAGGGAGTGAATGAGAGGATGCACCAAACCTTCATGTCACTCTTTCACTAAATATCGATTGCCTAGTGCCAAGCATCACTCTAGATGCTAGGAATAGAGCAGTGAACAAAACAAATCCCTCTTCTGGTGGTTACATTCTCATGGGGGAGACTGAAAATAAACAAGTATGTAATTCATAATGAAACAGCGCTATGAAGAAAAACAGTAGGAAAACTAGTCACGGTAGTCAGGGAAGGCCTCTCAGAGAAGGTGACATCTGAGTAACTATGAATGAGTGGGGAGTAACTAGATGAGGATTAGGGTCACTCACTGGGGGAAGGAAGGATTTTTTTTTTTTTTTTAAGTAGGCTCCATGCCCAATGTGGGGCTTGAACTCAAAACCCCTGAGAAGGGGTAGCCCTGGTGGCGCAGTGGTTTAGCGCTGCCTGCAGCCCGGGGTGTGATCCTGGAGACCTGGGATCGAGTCCCACATCGGGCTTCCTGCATGGAGCCTGCTTCTCCCTCTGCCTGTGTCTCTGCCTCTCTCTCTCTCTGTGTGTCTCTCATGAATAAATAAATAAAATCTTAAAAAAAAAAAAAAAGAGTCGCATGCTCCATGGACTGAACTAGCCCAGCCAGACACCCCTGGGGGGAAGAACTCTCTAAGCAGAGACTCTGGGAGTTGCAAAAGCCTTGAGATGAGGGTGCTGCTGTCTTTCCCTATTTCTCCCACTCGCCAGAGCTAAGTGAACACCGGGGGTCAAGGGTGGAACCTGGGGGTTTCTGCTTCGAACAGTATTAAACATTTCAGGAAAAAAAAAAAACAGAGTAAGATAAAAAACCAGAGTAAGATATGAAAATTAAGCATGAAGACCTCTCATATCTGCTCCTATCTTAGGAAAAGGAGAAAGAAACTTTTACTATGTCCCATACATTGTACACTGCTATGTCACTTAATCCTAAGCAGGCGTTATTATGCCCAATTTATAGATAAGGAAATTGAGGACCAATCAAGACATAATTCCAACAAAGTCCATGCTTTTTTCCCTATGTGACTCTCTTTTCTAACAAAATATAACTTTCTTCTTTTAAATTTCTGGTATTTCCTCCAAAACAGGAGAGCTTTTTTTTTTTTTTTAAGATCTTATTTATTTATTCATGAGAGAGAGAGAGAGAGAGAGAGGCAGAGACACAGGCAGAGGGAGAAGCAGGCTCCATGCAGGGAGCCAGATGTGAGACTCGATCCCAGGTCTCCAGGATCACGCCCTGGGCTGAAGGGGGCACTAAACTGCTGAGCCACCCAGAGATCCCCTAAGATTTTTAAGTAATCTCTGCATCCACGTGGGGCTTGAACTCACAAACCCGAGATCAGGAGCTGCTTGCTCCTCAGACTGAGCCAGTCAGGTGCCCCCTAAACAGAAGCTCTTAAGCTGTGATCCATGTAGGATCTCCAGGGAGCCCACAAATCCCCCCTCCCCCCCCCCCCGAAATGGAAGTCAACGTCTGTGTATACGTTTGTCAATCTAATATTTCTGGGGAGACGATCCATAGGTAGCAGCTTCTCAAAAGGGGTCGGAGACAAAACCAATACTACCCTGGAGCATCAGGGCCTCCTGGAGCCCATTTTTGGTGCAATTCCTGCTGTACGATGCCAAGGTGGGAGGGGTGTTTAATCACCCTTCCAGAGCAGCGGAGCATCAACAAAGGACCCCCGAGTCCGGTCGGCCTCCCCAACCTGCAACCTTGGATATTTAGTTTCTAAATCAGAAAACAAAGACACCTGTGTCTCTGCCTCTCTCTCTCTGTGTGTGACTATCATAAATAAATAAAAATTAAAAAAAAAAAAAGAAAACAAAGACAGCATGGGGAATTTTGGAGGAGATCAGAACGCGGCAAAGAAGGATGGCTCCGGGGTTGAGCACCTCCCTTCAGCCCAGGGCGTGATCCTGGAGTCCCGGGTTTCAGTCCCACATTAGGCTCCCTGCATGGAGGCTGCTTCTCCCTCTGCCTGTGTCTCTGCCTCTCCGTGTCTCTGATGAATAAATACTTAAAAAAAAAAAAAAAGGCAAAGAAACGGAACACCTGCCAAGAGGTCTTCACTCGGAGATAAACATCATCTGCGCTACTTTCCAGGCCCAGCTGCCACCTGCAGCCAACCTTTACGCGACGACCCGGTGCCCCACTCTTCCCAGGGCAGGAAGGAAGCGCCCCCTCCCCCGCAGGGGCACCGCCACTTACTGCCTACCCTGGCCCACCTCTTACTCCTCCAAATCGGAAGTTCCTTTCGGGCAAGACCAGCATCTGGGCATCTCCGGCGATACCTATAAGGGGCCTAGCGGCTCTGAAGCCCTGGAGTTAGAGACCTGTGTTCCGAGGCTCCCTCTTCTCCCTAAGCTGCAAACGTGGGCAAGGGTGCTGCAACCTGGCTGAGCCGTAGAACTGCGGTGACGCTGTCCACCTGAGAGAGTCACTTTGCGGATTAAAAAGGAGCTGCTACTTAAAAAAAAAAAAAAAAAAAAAAAAAGGAGCTGCTGTGCATCGAGTGCCGGGCCGGGTGCGGGGACCACCGCCGCCGCCGCGGGTGCAGCACCCAGTGGGCCGCAGGGCCCCGGCCACCCGCCTCAGGCCTGCAACGCCCCCCGCCGAGACTCTGCCCTGCTGCCCCTCCGGCAGCCCCCCTCCCCTCTCCCCTCCCCGCCCCCCCCCCCGCGGGAGCCCTTCCCAGCCGCGCCCCTTCCCCAGAGCGCCCCAGTCCGCCCCGCCCGCCGAGTCACGCGCTCCCGGTTACCATTTTCTTGCTCTCGGTGCCGCGGTTCGCCTGCCTGGACATGGTGCCGGCCGCCGTCCCCCGCCTCGCCGCAGACCCACTCGGCGACCCGTCCCGACACCGCGCGACCCCTCAGCCTCCGGGACTGACCGGCAGCAGCTCAGCGCGCCTGCGCGGCCCGCCGCGGGGCACCACGGGACTCGCGGTCTGGCCTACGGGGGTAATTCCCGCCCTACACACGTCGGACTACAGCACCCAGCCTTCCCCACCGGCGGCACCGCTGGACTACAACTCCCAGGGTGCTTCGCGCGCGGGTCCGCGTGAGTGCCCGGTTCCCGCCGGGGCTGCGCCCTGGCCGCTGGGTGGCGTCCGGAGCTCGCGGTGATCCCGTCCCGCCCGCACGCTTCCTTCCCCTCCGCCCACAACCCTCACCCTCGCAGATGCTCCGCCAATTCCTCTCTCGCGGGCTTGCTCTTGGAAAGTCCCCCTTTCGAACTAGCTGCTTCCGCTATTGCTGCAATTCAGAGCCAGAAGCTCCCAGGATGTGCTAGGACACTAGCTACGGCTCATTCGCGAATCTGGCTTTTTTTTTTTTTTTAACTGCAAAAATACTTAACAAGCTCCTCTGTGCCAAGCATTTCACTAGTGGCTTTCTTATCACACTGTCATCTGTCTCCCAGCTGCAAAGGCAGCCAGTACCTGCACCCTACCACTGTGGCCTCAAGATGGGACATCTAGTCGGTTGCCTAAAACTCAGGCCACTTTGCCCCTCTCCTTCCCCAAGAACAGCTACCCTGCCTGCTCCCTGGAAAAGAAAGATCACCAACGTCGGTAACAGCCAATCCTGGATTTTAATCTCAGCTTTGCCATTTTAGGCAAGTCCCTGGACCTCCCCCAGCTGTTGTGAAGATTGGTGAGACACGAGTGCGCGGCAATTGGCCACAGAGTGTGTCTCCCTTTCTTCCAGCTACTCTGTAAAAACAGCCCAACAAACAGGTCCCAGAGACATCAGGGGGTGTGCTGGCCACAGCCTCACCCGTCACCAGGGGGAAGTCCTGCAGTCCCTGACCATAGCTCTTCGGTTTCAGCTCCAGCCGTCCCCTCTGGCTGGTCAACCGTGAGAGGCCCGGCCTGGAAGTGGATGCCCGAGCATCCTCCCCTCCCTTGAGCCTGGAAGCCTGACTTGTAAGCAGCTGCATTCTAGCCCCTAGCCTTCACCATGACGACCAGCCTAGCCGGGGAGCCAGCCGGGCTGGGGGAGTCTGGGGGTGGGGGGGAGCCCAGGCTGCCCCGGCTTAAAGCCAGTTCTCAAGATTTCCCCCAGTCTCTCCGTCAGGGTGCAGGACCCATGGTTAGTATACCCTTCTCCCAGTAACACAGACGTTTCGGGGCCTCCCTAGAGGCAGTGACCTTTGACTCCTCCTCCCTCCAGGGTCAATGCCTTGGCTGAGAGTGCTGGGAAGGAACAGGCCAGCTGGCTGGGGTGGGGGAAGGAAGCAAGGGCCGGCTAGCACCCCTGAGGCCCCACCACGGCCTGGGAAGGACCTCCCGAATTCCCAGGAGAGAGGACAGCTGAGGTGAAAGCTGCAGTTGGCTGGCCTGTCTTTCGGTCTGGGCTCCTCCCTGCCGGCTGCCCTTGGCTGCCCACAGAAACCTGAGTCACAGTCAGGGCCAGCCGCCCGACCCCACCCAGCCTGCTGTCAGGCAGGGTAGTTCTGGAGAAGCTGGAGGTGGAGCCTCTCCCTACCCATCTTCCGACCTCTGAGATTCTTCCTCTGTCCGCCTATGATTGTTCCTTTTGGAGTCTTTTTCATTGGGACTCCTTCTTGCATCACAAGTTGTGAATCAAGGACAGGGGTGGGGTCCATTTCAAACTGACTTATAGGGTCTCCTCCTTGCTCAGATGGGAACCTAAAGCTCCTTAGACCCATGCTCCAGGGGTTCTCAGTAAGGCTTCCGTCATCCCCAAATCCCAGTCCCTCTCCACCCCTGCTCAGGGCCAGGACATTTAGGAACACTTAGGCACCCCTTCCCATCCTTCTCTCCTTCTCTCTAGAAAGGAATGCAGCAGGGACGCCTGGGTGGCTCAGCGATTGCGTGAGTGTCTGCCTTCAGCCCAGGGCGTGATCCTGGAGTCCCGGGATCAAATCCCACATCGGCCTCCCTGCATGGAGTCTGCTTCCCCTCTGCCTCTCTCTCTCTCTCTCTCTCTCTCTCTCTCTCAAATAAATAAATAAATAAATAAATAAATAAATAAATAAATAAAATGTTTGTAAAAAAAATAAAAGAAAAAAGAATGCAGCAGGGACAGCTTCCCATTCCTAGCAGGGGCTCTAGACAAAGACCCCTCCCAAAAATCCAAAGCATTGAGCCTATTTGGTCCTGGATCTGCGTTCCTCCCCCCCTCCAACTGTCCCTGTTCCTTCTCTCCCCAAGCTGGAGGGAGGGAGGCCTTTTTTGCAGCTGGTGTCACCACCGCCCTTGAGGACATTCTCCACCCCCAGCCCCAGGGAGTGGGCCTGGAGGGCTCCCCAGGAGAGCAGTGTGGGTTAGAGACCCATTCACAGTGCAGCGCCTGGGGGGCAGGGTAGGAGCGGGAGTCTGGTGTCTGTTCCGCCTGCTGCCCCCACTGGGGCCCTCCCACTTCCTACTTTGTAAGTGTGGTGGCAGCCTCCAGGGCCCTGGTCTGATTCATATCTCGGATCTCTGTCTGTCTCCCGGTGATTTCCCTCACCTCTCCATCAGGTTCATCCTGGACCCTGGCTCACCAAACCTAGGTTGTGAATGCTCTTGCTCCTGCTCCCCACCCTGCCCAGGGGGATCAGAAAGGGGACATATTTCTGATCCCTGTTCAGTGACCTGCCCTCAGCCCCGGCCCAGCCTCATGGTGAGAGGAACAGCTCATTCATGCCTGTTTCCGAGGAGGAGGGGACTGCCCTGGGCCGCTGGGGGGGCACAGGGGAGCTGAGAGTTCCCTGCCCCTGACCAAAGAGGGCAGGGCATCCTGTTGGGGCTTGCGGTTGGTCCCTGATGTGACAAGTGCCTCGCTTGTCCGATATTCAGGGGGCCATGTGAGGCTCCCACACACGGTCACCCAGGCCCGAACCCAGAGACACATATACCCTCTAAACCTTCTCCGAGCATGGGATCTGCCAGGGATCCTGGTCAGTCAGGGCACAGAAGGAAAGGAGCCAACTCCATCTGTCCATCTGTTTGCTTCAACTTAATCAATCATAGGACGCTGCTCTCCTGGCTGCCCCTCTGCCATCCTCCGCAGACTCTCTCTGGACTCCTCAGTTGTACAGAAAGCCTGGGGCTTCCAAGAGAACTGTCCGTCAAGTTGGCTAACTCCCAGATGCCTTGTTGTCCCCACCACTAGCGTCGTGTGGGGGTATAGATGCCTCCACTCTCAGTCTAGGGAACAGTTCCTCTGTGTTGGCACCGTTGATGTTTTGGGCCTAATGATTCTTTGCTCTGAGCTTTGTAGGATGTTAACGGCATCTCTGATGTCCAAGCACTAGATGCCGGGGACCCCCCACCCAGTTGTGACAACCAAAATTGCCTCTCCCAACGTTGCCAAGTGTCCTCTCTGGGGGCAAAACTGCATCTGGCCGAGAACTGCTGACGTAGGCTAATCCCACACTGTCTTTGCAATGACTCCTCCAAGTCAATCCCAGATCATTAGACACAGTAGAGAATTTCTAGTTCTAACGCACTGCTCACCCCTCCCCTTCACGACTCCTCACGATCAAGGTCATGCAGATCATGACGTCAGTTGGCATTCAGATCTTCCTATAGAGACCATCCCTGGCCTGTCTTTTCATCTTTAGCTACCATTTATTTTCCCCTCCACTCTTGTTGAGGTCTAGCCCATGAAGGTATCCCACTGTTTCCACCCAGGGTCTTCATCCTTGTAGTCATCTCAAGATCACAGGGGTGAGGGGTGGTGGAAGAAGAACTATCCCAGAGGGCTCTCCCCCTTTTGGTTTTTTTTTTTTTAAGATTTTATTTATTAATTTGGGAGGGAGAGAGAGAGAGAGAAAGAGAGCAGAAGCAGGGAGAGAGACAGAGAGAGAGGGAGAAGCAAGACTCCCCACTGAGCAGAGAGCCAAACATGGGGCTCGATCCCAGCACCCTGGGATCATGACCTGAGCAGAAGACAGATATTTTATCATCTGAGCCACCTAGGCACCTGCCCCTGTTGGGTTCTGTTCATGAATTCTGAGTCTACTCACTGCCTGGCTCAGGATAGGGAGGTTCAGCTCTGGAAAATGCAGGCCCTGAGCCCTCTGACCTCACAAAGCACAGTCCTGGACTCTGTCATCCACATGGCCCCTTCACCTTGCAGGTGGGATGGCGGACAACAAAGATTGGGGGGGGGTGTCTTGTCCCTCCTCCTAATCCGCTTTTATCCTTAAAGCTCCATCATTATCACCACCACCACCACCACCTCTGTGATCATATTTATTACGTACTTACATGCCAGGCTCTGTGCTAAGCACTTCATCTGCATTGCCCCATTTAACTTTTACAGTGACCCCATGACACCTCATGGTACCATTGTTTTCCTGATTTTATAGGTGAGCAAATGAGGTTTCAGAAAAGGTAAGATACTAGCTTAAGATCAGCAGCTCCATTTGCAGGCTTTCCATCATCATCATTTTCTAATGATTTGGGGCCAGAGGCAGCAGGAATCCCTCCCCAGGCCCTTCCAAGAGAGTTCAGCACCACCACCACCCCACTCACTCCTCCTGGGGCAGGCTGCTTCCAGGTTGCCTGAGACCCAGACCCTTTTGTTCCTTCCCCTCCCCTCCCCCTTGAAATGGCTGCTTTCTGGAGCTGTTCAAAGAAGACGATAGTGCGAAAGAGGGCCAGGAGCCTAGCATCTCACTGGGCCTAATTTCTGGACAATGGAGACCAGAGAAATGACCTTCTAGAGGTCAGGACAAAGGGCAGGGAGGGGTGGCAGGGCCCAGCTGTGCCTCCTCTTTCCTCCCCTCAGTCAATCCCTGTAGCAGCATCATCGATCCACCTTCCCAGCAAGCTTCCCCCCCCATCCCCCACCCCACCCCGGGCTGCCCAAGTGTCCAGACTTGGTTTGGGGCCCCACCTCCGCTGGCACTGACAAGGAGACTTGGGAAGCCAGACTACACTACAGGGAGGGAAGTCAGAAGGGACTCGCTCTCTACTTGACAGGCCACAGGGGAGCAAAATCCTTCCGGGGACCTTGGAGGGGTCTCCCAACGGGGGTGGGGGGGTGGGGGAGGTGCAAGGCCAGGACCACCCGGTTTGGAGCTGGGAGGGACCCAGCAGATTAGAGACCTGGGTAAAGCATTGGCGCAGGCCTGTAATTACCCCGGAGGGGCAGGGAAGACACCCACCATGGAATGCTGGAGGAAGGGCGGCAGCAGCAAGGGGCTCTCCCGGTGCCAGCCATCACCGGGGAAGAGAAAGCAGAGCCCTTTTAGGAGTCTCCTTGGGGCCCTCCTCGCGCTCCCTCGAGCTCTCCCGGGCGCATTTGGTTTGCAGTGGGATTGGGAGAGGGTTTCGCTTTGCACCCAGCGCCGGAGCCCCCGGGGCCCAGGGTGGGATCGGGGGCTCCCGGGCCGGCTCCCCGCGGCTCCCCCCAGTCCTGGCGGCGGGTGAGTCACCCGAGCGCTCCCTACATAGCCTCCCGGCGCTGTGGCGCGTACCAACGCGCGGCCGCAGGGGGAGGCGGCGGGCCCGGCGGCCTCGGGGAGCCCCGGCGCGCCCCCCCCCGCCGCGGCCGCAGGGGAGGCGGCGCGAGCTCCGGGGCCCGCGCTGGCGGGCGGGGCGCGCGGGGCGGGGCGGGCGGGCGGGGCGGCCCGGGCCGGACGGCGGCGGGGGCGGCCCTCCCCGCGTCCGCACTTGGTACGCGCCGGCGGGGAGGCCAGGCCCAGCCCCGGCGGTACAATAGGGCTGGGCCGCGGCCGCGACGGGGCCGGCGCCGGGCAGGGAGCGCGATCGCCGCCGAGGCCGAGGCCGAGCACAGCGGGCGGCCGGCCTCTCCGCGCCGCCCTTCCCGGGGCGCCCCGGCCTCCGAGAGTTGCCCGCCGGGCGGGGCCGGCCGTGATGCGCCGCGGGACCCGCGTCCTGGCCGCCGGCCGCCGCCGCCGCCGCCGCTGAGCCCCCGCCCCGCGCGCCGCAGCCATGGAGAGCGGCCCACCTGCGGAGCCGCGTGCCGGCGCACCCCCAGGTATGCGGGAGCCGGCGCGGCGCGGCGGGGAGGGGCGGGCGCGGGGCGCGGGGCTCGGGCGCCGGGCCGGGGCGGGGACCCCCCCGCCGCGCCCGCGCCCGCGCCCGCGCCCGCTGACCGCTTGCAAGTTTAAAAATAAAGGCTGCAGCGGCCGCGGCTCCGGCCCCCGACGCATCCCCTGACAGCTGCCCCTCCCCCACGGCCGGCGCCCGGCGGGCTCCCCGCACCCCCGCCCGCGCGCCCCCTTTCCGCTCCGCCCCAGGCCCCGGGAGCCCCTCGGGTTGAGCCGGGCCGTCTCCGCGCCCCTCCCCAGCGCGGGGGGCAGCGGCGACCCCAGCCTGCACGCGCAAGTGGGGGGCCCCGAGCCCTGGAGCCTGAGCCCCGGCGCCCCCCACGCCCCGGCCGCGACCTCGCCCCCACCGCGGCTCCCCAGCTGCCGCGCCAAGGGCCTGTTGCGGCGGCGGGCCGGCCCGGAGGGGAGGGGAGGGAGGGGAGGGCAGGGCAGGGCAGGGCAGGGCAGGGGGAGGTCTCTAGCGGCGGCTGCCAAGGAACCCGCCGGATAAAGACGAGGGGGAGGGGGAGGCGGCATTGTTCGGGGCGAGGGCGGGAGCCGGGGAGCGGGGAGCTGGGGAGTGGGCCGCCGCCTCCGCAGCCCGGCCTGCCCCACACCCCCCCCCCCAGCCCTATTTGGGGAGGAAGGGGCCAGAAGCAAACGTGCGTATCCGGCCACGCTCCCCCGCAGCCTCTCCAGGCCCGAGACCCCGACACCCCGCAGAATGAGGTGCAGGCTCAAGGCCGCGCTCCCAGGACCTGCCACATCATTCTCGGGCCTGAAGCTTGGGATGCCTACCGCCGCCCCCCTACACACGCTCCAGGCCCCAGACCAACAGAGCTCCCCTCCCCTCCCCTCACCCCACCAACCACCAGTGCCCAGCACTTCTGCAAATCCCATTCGGATCTGGGAGCAGCTGATGAGGGGGTGGGGACAGGTTTCTGGTTGGGCCTGCTGTTGGAGGGAGGGATTTCTCTTTCCCTTTCTTCCTGGAAGGGACGGAAGAACATGATTGCTGAGGACCCAAGTTCTGTTCCCACTGACTCAGGGGGGAGGCGGCCCCAACCTCGCAGCTCCATAGAGTCCCAGAGCCTAATCCCTGCCGCCTCCCTGACCCCTGCGGCGTGGGCTCAGCACGAAACAGTGTCTGTGGGTGCGGAGAGCCCAAGACAAGGTGGAGCCGCTTGGCTGTGGGTGGGCTCCTCCCCATGCCAGCGTAGGCACTTCCTGGGGACCCGTGGCTGTGGGAGCTGAAGTTCGCAGGTGGTGGGTGGTGGGGAGCTTCAGACTGTCGTGGGTGGGGAAGTTTGTAGGCTGTACTGGAGCACTGGCACTGGGGTCAGGTCAGTCTGGACTCCGCGGAGCCTGAGAGGGGACACCCAGGGAGTGCTAGACTGGGTCCATTTCATCTGCTTATTGGCCCTCTGCGTCTGTGGGGCACATGCACTGGCACATGCATCAGGGCCTGAATGGGCCCAAGTGAGTGTCTGGTTTATAATTAAGGCCCTCGGGTGGGATGCCTGACTGCACGTGAGGGCATGGGTGCCTGCTTGGCTGTATTGAGGGGCCCGAGGGGATGACTACCTCCAGGGTCCTGGGTTGGGAAGACTCTTCTATACATAGGGCCCAGATGAAGTTACATGAGAGCCTAGATCAGGCTGGTGGCTGATGCCTACACAGAGCGAAGGGGAATGGGACAGGGGCTTCCTACAAGCCAAGGGCTTCCGGGGACTAAAGGTGGTGCCCACTACACGTATCCTGTCGAGTTTGAGGTGTGGGGCTGAGACACCCAGTGCGCATGGCACGATCCCTGCCATGCTTGAGTCCCCTTTGCACCGTGAGCATTTCCAGGAGGCAACATGGAGTGGGGGACAGGTGTGGACTGGAGCAAGTGACTTCCTCCTCCAGCCACAGTTTATGCCCCTGGAAAATGGAGGTTGTGTTATTGAACCCCGTAGGGTTAATGTGAGGGTTAGAGATGATACCTAAAGGAACCTGGCACACAGATGCCCGCAATACAGTGTCATTACCATTATTGTGGTTAGGCTCATCAGAACTGGTGCCAACAGGGAGGTACAAAATATGGGGGAGGTGAGGACAGGAGTTGGGAGCCAGCTTGCTTAAGAATGTAGACTCTGGAATCAAACATAACCTACTACTGTGTGACCTTAGGTAAGTTGCTTAACCTGAGTCTTAAATTTTCCCACCTATAAAATGAGAATAATGCTAGCGATGATCTCATGGAGATATTGGGATCATGAAATTAGATGAACACATGAAAGGCTTAGCCTAGGCCCAGGCACAGAGTCTGTGGTCAATAAACTCTATTTGGGTTTTTTTTTGTTGTTGTTACTGTTTTTAATTCCTTTGGAGGCCTGAGTAGGAGGTGTGACTAATTAGGATTTCAGGAGGTAAATAGGGGACAGAGGGCCAGGGGAGGGGAGTTCTGGACACAAGTGAACCGAGGTGTGTCTGAGGAATGGAGGGGACCCTGTGCTTGAGGTGGGGCTGCGGAGGTGAGTGCACATAGTCATCCAGCACCCCATACTGATGCCTGCCATGTGCCAGCTCAGTGCTGGTATGCAGATGGCAAAGAAGTTAATCAGACGGAGTCACTCCCCTCTGAGCACTCCTGGCCGGATGAGGGAAGCAGAGGTGTTCAGGGTAGGGAAACCCTACAGGCATAATGGGCTCTGCTTGTGGAAGGCTTCACAGAGGAGGAGGCGTTTGAAGTGAACCTAAAAGGATGACTAGAAGTTGGCAAGACTGGCACAATGGGGTATGTCTCTACATACAGCAGCCAGCCCCTCTGGTGCCCCCCACTGACAGCTCTGTCCCTCCTTGGGCCCGTGGGCCCAGTAATGAGCCTCTAATGAGCTCCTAATGTGCAGTCATGCATATGCAAACGAGGAGGAAGGGGCACCAGGCCAGTTTACTCCCCCTGCCCTTCAGGATGGCATCAGCTGTTGGTGGGGCAGGGCTGAGGGAGGGGGAATGAGCTGAAAACAGGGCCCAGGACCAGAGTGTTGGCACTTGAGGGGGGCCAGGGCAGGTCTCAGGCCTAACCAAGGCTGGATGTTAGGCCACGAGCAGCAGGGAGCTGCGTCCCAGGGTCCCCACTGGGCCCTGGGACGAGTGAGGGAGCCAAGGAGCCAGGGCCCAGATAATGCAGCTTTGTTGGCTGTGGTAGTACCGCCTGGCACCCCGGGCACAGGCTTCAGCGTCTCCTCCACCACCTCTCAGCTGCAGCTCTGCCCCGAGGGGAGCAGAGAGCATGGTAGGGGGTAGAGAGCATGGTGCTGCTGCCTCCATCAGCACTCCTCACTTGTAAGAGGAGATGTGGCCTCTCACCAGGGATGAGTCTAACTTATCTCCCACTCCTATTTATCAAGGGCCTTCTCCGTGCAGGCATGATGCTTAGCAGGTCATGTGCATGGTCTCATCTGGTTCTCAAAACAGTCCCTGAGTAGGGCCTAATATCATCCTCATTTTAGAGATGAGGATCAGAGAGGGAAGGCCTTGGCCTGAAGTCACGCAGCCAGGAATTGGCAGATGTAGGATTTGAACCCAGGTTCATCTGACTCTAAAGCCTCTGCACCAAACCACTCTGAGCCAGCCGGTGGTAAAGTCTGATCTGCTTCCCTTCTTCTCTACGTAGCTTGGTCTTAGGGACCCCGTGATCCTTCTCTAGCAGGCAGCAGAGTGCGGGTCCCTTGTGCATCTTGTCGGGTTGGAGTCTGAGTGGGTCAAACCAGAAGGAGGCCCTGGCCCCAGGCGGTGGTGACAGTCCGAGCATCCTGGGCCTAGTGTGGGGCTGAGGGAGGACCCGTGGTGGGGCCTGGGCTGCGGGATGGGGTCATTTCCTGCCGCCTAAAATAACAGGAAGTGGGTGCTCCTGATTGGAGGCTGGGAACAATGGCCACCAACCCAGCCGGGAGCTCCTTCAGATGTGCAGTGAGTCCTTGTCCCGGCTTATGGCCCGTGGAGGCGCGGCCTGGCCGCTAGGGGCCTGTGGCCCAGGTCCTTAGGGGGCCCAAGCCCCTGCCCCCTCCCAGGTCACTGCCTCTCAGAGCCCGCTGGCTCCCCTTGGGCCGGGAAGTGCTGCCCCCTAAGGGTCGCCTGTGTCCCAGCCCGGGGCCCATCCCTCCCCCTCGGTCTCCATCCTCCTGGCGGGGAAGCCCACGAGGCCACCCTCTTTGGGTGACAGCACAGGGACAGATTGGCAGGCTGCCGCAGGCCCAAACCCCGGCGTCGCTGCTCGTGGCTGTGCCACTTAAGCAAATGTCTCAATCTCTCTGAATCTGTGTCTTCAAACGGGGTGACAACGTCTGCCTCCTGGGGCTGGGGTGAATGTGACAGGGGCTGATGGCTCTGCAGTGTGGAGCTGGGCCTGACGGCGCACTGGCTGTGCCGCATGAACTGGACTTTCCTGGGCCCAGGGGAAGGGGTGCCCGCGGGGCCTCCTGGAGGAGGCTGTACAACCCACTGGGGACTTCTCCGGGGGGGGGGGGCGCTGAGGCTTCACCCGCACCTGCAGCAGGTGCCTGTGCGTGTGCGTATGGAGTTCCAAACCCCACGAGGTCTGACTTCTGTGTATATAGGAGAGAGGGAGGGAGGGAGGGAGGGAGAGAGGGAGGAAAGATGTGCCTGGCCTCTCACCGTCCTTCAGGCTCTGCCCGCACCGTCCGGGTCCCTCTGTCCGCGGTGTGCACCTGTGCACCGTCCCGTGTCCCTGCCCCCCCTCGGCCCCGTCGTCTTCACTTGCCGGGCCCAGCGCCGACCCCCGACGAGCTGCTCTGAGAGCCCGAGGGCTCATCTCCGTCCTGTTTCCTCTCCCGTGCCTCGGCCTCTGCTTCCTCAGGCTGCCCACCCCGGGGTGCTGTCTGTGCGCCCCCCTCCTCTGGCTCTCCCCGGTCCTCCTTGGCTCGGTCCCCCTGGAGGAGGGCCG